AATAGATAGATAGATAGATAGATAGAACGTTAAAGATAGATAGACAGACAGACAGATAGATAAAAAGAGACAGACAGACAGACAGACAGATAGACAGATAGATAGATAGATAGATGATAGATAGATAGAACGTTAAAGAAAGATAGATAGACAGACAATAGATAGATAGATAGAGACAGACAGACAGCTTTAGCTCTGATCACAGTTAAACGCAGAGGTCAAAAGCACAGTCTTTCGCTCTGGTTCTGTTCGGGGTCATTTGTTCTGGTTAATCCTCCACTGCTGCAGTTAAACATCAACATCAGTGAACAGTAACGCCTTGAGAGCGCAGGAGCCGCAGGACATTATGATCAGAGACGAGGCTGGTCACGTGAGCGGCCATCTGAGAGCTGCCTCCCTGTGAATCTCACTTCTCCACACCAACACCGGGAAGGGAAGTGAGTCGATCACACTTGAACATCCTCATATCAGAGAAGTAGAGCTGAAACGAACATTGGGATGTTTGAGATTGAACTGTATAGAGACTGTACTGGACAGAATTACATTTAAAAGGAGATTTCCCAGTTGCAGTGCTGTTACAAACACTAAAACTAGTAAACTAGGCTATTAAAAATAATTATCGGTAATTTAAATACTTAAAAGCTGAAATAAAACATAAAACTTAGATGAAACACTTAAAAAACTAGAAAAAAACTAAAACGGAGAAATGTTGCCTTGGCAACTAACTGAAATAGTTTAGGCAGAAAACTAAAATTAATTTAATTTAATTAAAACTAAAATTGCTAAAACAGAAATTAAAATAAATTGAAGCTAAATGAACAAAAGCACATAACAACATTGCTAACACTTCAACTAAAATTAAAATGCATATTGAAAAACATAAAAGCTAATACAAAATATTAATAAACACTACAATAGTAAATAAATAATATGGCTCATTATTAAGTCATTCAGAGTTTGGGAATGATTCAAAGCAGCAGTATCCGTGGCGTATATCATGGCTCACACACGACACAAGACTTGGATTTTGATGGCAAACATATCATAAATGCATGAAACTCAACCTGGGCTGTCTGAAATCTGATTTCATAACCATTATCCAATGCAGCAACTGCTGTGGGAGCTTCGCATGAATTAGGTTATGATATACTGCGCAAAAAGCGCGCATGCGCCCTGCTAAACCTGCATGCAAATGAAAGTAGGGATGTGTGTCATGGATCTTTCATGTTCTGCTCCTCGTGTGTTTATCATCATAAGGAACGCAAGCATTCCGCAGCATCCGCGTACTGAAACCAGCGCGCATTGGCTGGAGCGTCGCTACTCACTCCGCGTATCCGGCGGCCCAGGGAAGCTTCATCTCCTTGAGGATGAGGATGGGTCTGGAGATGTGATCCGCGGAGCACTCCACCTCGTCCGGTGACAGCGCGAGGAAATCCGGCCTGCTGTACGGGAACCGGAGCGGCAGATCTGGATGGTTCTCGTGCGCGCTGGAACCCGAAGCCATGATGCCGCCGATGATGCTGGAGACCGCGGACCGCACGCGTGTTATCATCATGATGATGGTGATGGTGATGGTGGTGTGTGTGTGTGTGTGTGTGGTCACGGGCTGCGCAATGAACGCACCGTCAGCACGGCGGAAATGAACGTCACCACGTGACAGTCCTGTTGCGGGTCACTTCGGTGACTTTGACCCTCATAGTGTTCACATTTATTCCACTTCCTTGCTGTATGCGTAAAAACACATTTACTGTCCATAAGTACCACTTGATACCATCACTGTATATACATGCATAAATAAATAGTAAAATGTTATTTTACAGTGTCCTTGTTACACATATTATTACAGTAAATTATGCATAATAACTACATGAAACTAAATAAACCTATTAATAAATATATGTTGTTAAGTAATATTATTATGTGCTTAAATATATAATTACCGTGACAGGTTCACCTTAAAATAAAGTGTACCCAATAAAATACCAATAAAAATAGGAATAAAAAACATTTTGAATAATATCAGCTCATCGATCACCAAAACGAACCACATTACTAAATAGAGTATAATTTAAATAAATATTGTAAGTATTATATAATAAGGACAACTTAAAATAAAGCATAACCAGTAAAATAAATAAAATATTTTTTGATTAAAATACATTAATATCAGCTCATCAATCATCAAAACGAACCACATTACCAGATAGATTAAATATTGTAATAGAATATTGTTACAGAATAATGACACATTAAAATAAAGCATAACCAGTACAATTACATTTTTTATTTAATTAAATCAGTTCAATAATAACACAGCAAACCACATCACTAAACAGATATTTTAAGTGTTAGATAATAAAGACACATTAAAATAAAGCATAACCAGTAAAATATAAAATAAAATATGTTTTTATTAAAATATGTTCATATCAGCTCATCAATCACCAAAACAAACCACATTACTAAATATAGTATAATTTAAATAAATATTGTAAGTGTTATATAATAAGGACACATTGAAATAAAGCATAACCAGTAAAATTACATTTATTTTTTCATTAAATCAGTTCAACAATCAAGAAAAAAAAATCATTACTAAATAGATAAACAAATATTTTAAGTGCTAAATAACAGTTGAGTTAGTTTTTATATTATAACAATATTTAGCATTTAATAAATATAATTAGAAAGTTGTTTTGTATGTTTTTTTTTTGTTCTAACATGCTGCCAGTGTTCAGCACGTCCATATCAGAGCATAACCAGTAAAATATAAAATAAAATATTTTTTTATTAAAATATGTTCATATCAGCTCATCAATCACCAAAACAAACCACATTACTAAATATAGTATAATTTAAATAAATATTGTAAGTGTTATATAATAAGGACACATTGAAATAAAGCATAACCAGTAAAATTACATTTATTTTTTCATTAAATCAGTTCAACAATCAAGAAAAAAAAATCATTACTAAATAGATAAACAAATATTTTAAGTGCTAAATAACAGTTGAGTTAGTTTTTATATTATAACAATATTTAGCATTTAATAAATATAATTAGAAAGTTGTTTTGTATGTTTTTTTTTTGTTCTAACATGCTGCCAGTGTTCAGCACGTCCATATCAGGATATAACAAGTGCTTAATCTTTCCAGCTTTAGTGGATTTAATCGTGTGTATGCAATACTGTACTGTTTAAACAACATCACACTCAACAACTGTTTGAATAATCCCAGGAGGATTATAAAATGTGTGCACAATCACTAGAAATATATGCCATCTGTTATAGCTCTTATAACATGAGCCACAAATCAGCATGTCATCCATTTCAACAACCAAAGCAATACAGAAATTTAAATAGCTCACCAGATAAAAATGTTATCGCTGTTTACTCACCCACATGTTGTTCAATCGACAGATCTCTGTGCAAAACAGATGAATATTAACTCATTATGCTATCATATAACTTCAGAAGACTTTACTGTTTTAATTGTTTTAAAATACACTTTAAATAGACGGAATCAATGCATAGAAATACTGTACCAGCATTTTGTTTGGGCGCTGTCATTAGTGGTGGACATTGCCAAAATTCACTGGGAGGACTTGATAATGAGTCAGTATTAATGACCCCTTCTGTTTAATAAAAAAGGGACAACAAGCACTTGTGCTCCTAATTAAAAAAAAAAAAAAATTAAGAGCACCTTCTGATCAATAACAAAAATTAACCTTCACATTATAAATTGATATTTAACTCAAAAGTGATTTGCAGGGCCACCTTTTGTAATGGCATAAAAAAAAATATTATTATTTTTTTTTTAATGAAAACAATACATTGAATTAGAATTATAAGACATAATCAGCAAGAACAAGTTACCAATCAAATTAAATCAGTATCAACAAAATTCACAGAAGAACAAAAAGTGGCATTGATTTAAGTATATTTACAGATTGTTTAACAAGGCTCAGAGGTGGCATGAATGCATTTAAATTCATAATAACAATGTTATGAGATTAAAGTATTAATATAGAAATATTAAATGATTTAAATAACTGAAATGATAGTTTAAAAGTAAAACCGAAAACTAAAACCGCCAGCAAGTGGCGGCAAGTCACTGATTTTATCATTGAATCATTCATTCAATCGATTCGTTCAAACAGCTGATTCATTCAGGAACGAAGCAAGTGACTGCCTTTAAGAACGGGGGATTGAATCACTGACTCACTCGATTCGTTCAAAATCGCACCATGCATTCATAAACAAAACATAGACATGCGAGCTAGATGACAGAGTTTATATAAAAGCCTGGATCATTTCAGGTACGTTAACACAGCTTTATTTTCTGTTATCACCTCTGATAAAGTAAAATGTTCCGATTTTCGGCAAAAATCACGGTTCATTCCATATAATTTACCTGTAGCTTACACGATCTGTTTTGCGAGGAGCAGGACGCGCACTGATAAAGCAGCAGGCAAATGTGGCCCAAAACTGATTTTTTTTTTTTGTGCACATGTGACTCAGATCTGTTTCTCGTGACAGTGTGAACAGCACAAACTACATCTGATCTTTTCAATTACGATTTGCCGCTTCCATATAAAGCCTCGCTCAGACTGCCAGCCCAAATCCGATTTTTGTGCAAATCCGATTGAAATCCGATCATATTCATATAGTCTGCGTTCACACTGCGAGCCTTAGTGCTCAATTCTGAATTTTGCTCAGATTTTTTTGTATAGCTGTTCACATTGTTGTTTTAAAATGTGGCCAATATCAGATTTCAGTGTGAACAGATCATGGTTCTGAACTGACCTGCATGCGCAAAAGAACAATATGAACAGGGTTGCCAGGTTCCAAAACATCTGAACCTGCATCGGATTTAGTACCACACATAGAAGTGGCACAAATCGGAATTGAAAAGATCAGATTCTATGTGGTTTGTGCTGTTCACACTATCAAGAGAAAAACAGATCCGAGTCACATGTGAGCAAAAAAAATCAGATTGACCCCCCCACCCCCTATATTTCTAGCCCTGGCTGTCATGTCTCATAATGGCCACTAGATGTCAGTGTTTCCTAACAAGAAATGGCCAACAGTCTCTATTCAACATCTCGACTGGATCTTGTTCACTACAGAGAATGTGAAAGGTTTGACACGGGTCAGCCTGCTTTCCTCGTCAGGATCACTGTAGGTTAATCCAGTGCCTGATTCTGCTTTCAGCAAACACCCTCAGTACTGTAGCAGCAGCAGCGGGGCCGCTGGGTAGATTTATGAGCTCAGCGGTGCCAAACACACGTGCTGCCTCTCAATACTGATCTTATGGATGGTCTGAGAGCAAGATTTAGGATTCGGTTTGGGTCATTTGTTAGTTTTATTGCTTTCTGGCATGCTCTGTCATGTCTGATGTGGAAAGTGTGTTGTCCCGCTGAGGCGGCGTGTATTTATTGCTGCCTGGCTGATTAGGAGGGGAATCTCCTTATTCTGTCTGCCTGTTTTGGACGGATTACTGTTGATTAAAAAGAAACAAATCGTGGTAATCTGTCAGAAATGCATCTCACGGATTAAAGCTCTGCTGCTGAACTGATTGGGACTCTTCATAGACTCTACACAGTTTGCTCCTCACTCAAGACTCAGTTTACTGTATTCATTTCAGTTTTTTTTTATGTTAGCATTCTGCGTTATGTGTGATTACAAAGATTTAAGATATATCAAAACGGTGCGGTACTATGATTTTGAACATTTACAATACCCTGGTATTCTTTGAAATACCTTACCATATAAATATCACGGTAGGCCTACATGAATATGCAAATCATTCTGGACTGTGTTGTTTAAAGTACCCGCATTAAAAACAATGTGCATTCACTTTTATATTGTAACATATTTCAATATAAATCTAAATATGCCAACAGACACAAAATCTGTGATATTCAACTTAATACAATGTCATAGATCACTAAATTAGATCAATTAACCTCATAACTTTGTTGATATTCACATAAAAAAAGAGTTGCCATTCTTCAAATGTGTTGAGATGAAATTTTGTGCCATTTATGGTTTAAAAAAAAAACATTTTACCCTATATATCAAACTACTTTACTGTCTGACACCATCACTGTGTATAGTTTGTAAGGAACACACAATCCACATTCTGCTTGACGCAGAGGAAAATCAGACCTGCTCACGCAGGAATGGCGTGACTTCAGATTTTGGAATGTTCTGGAGGGACAATAAATATATCCAACAAAATCTCACCATCATTTAATTCTTCCCAGATGGGTCTCAACCAAGAGAACATCGTGCCAAACTGATCCGAGACCAGCGTCACTCTACCAGATCCCCTGAGACCTGATCTGAGATCAGGACAACTTTCATCAATAACACGCGAGACATCAGGTCAGTGAGCAGAAGAACTCGAGACCATCTCAAAGAGTGACATTCTCAAGTGTAATTGGATTTGAAATGTCAGGCAGCCTCATCTCTGGAAACCTGTGTGTTGTTTAGTGATGTTTTAATATGTTTGATGTGCTGCTCACAGACCTGAATGCCAATGACGTCACTGCCAGTGTATTAAGACAAACAAATGTTCTTCCAGTAATGTTAATAGAACATTCATTCAAAGGTATCTGGTCTTTAATCATATTTTCAAAATGTTAGCACAAATATGTTATTCATACATGGTTCATAGAACATCTGTCTTCTTAAAATGTTCTATTTGGATGTTTTTAAATGTTACTACTTGCTATTACTTGTCAAAAGTAACGT